AAAAAAAAAAAAAAATGATGGCTTTGGTGGTCAAAAGGGAATTCCTTTAGAAGCAAAATGTTCTTATTTCTATTCTTATTGCGTTTTTCTTTTCTTTTCTTTCTCCACTTGTTATCCCATTCTCTTTTTTTTTTTGTTCTTTTGTTTCTCTATGCTGTAGCAACGATCACAAAGAACAGAGCACCCTTAATTACTTTCCTAGGCATAGGGGTGAACTAAACTTTAACAAAAGGAAAGAAAAAAGAAAAAAAAAAGAACGAAAAAAAAGAAAGGGAAAAAGAGGCAAGAAATTTAGATCCATGACAAATTATATTATGATGGCGCAGCCCATCCTGGCGTTCTTGCCAGAGGTGGCACGCCCACGCCGTATTCCCCCAATCAAGGAACGTATTATGTGGACTGCAGTGGCACTCTTCATATTTCTTATTTGCTGTCAGGTACCTGTATATGGTGCTCGACCAGGGCAGACAAGCGATCCCTTTTACTGGATGCGTGTGGTACTGGCCAGCAACAAGGGAACACTTATGGAGCTTGGTATTTCTCCCATTGTCACAGCCTCACTCATTCTGGAGTTACTCGCTGGTTTGAAAATTATAAGCTATGATGTGGACAACAAGCAAGAGCGTGCAGTGTTTGAAGGAATACAGAAGGTTGCAGCTTTGCTTATCACTGTTGTTGAGGCTATAGCATATGTTTCCTCTGGTATGTATGGAGATGTGCGGGAAATTGGACTGTTTGTCTGCGGTCTCATTGTTCTTCAACTTGTAACTGCCACCCTCATTTGTATTCTTCTTGATGAATTGCTGCAGAAGGGATGGGGTCTCGGTGCGGGTACTTCACTTTTCATAGCCACGAACATCTGTGATACCATCATTTGGAAAAGTTTTTCACCTTCAACTATTAATACCGGTCGCGGAGCGGAGTTTGAGGGTGCGATCATTGCGTTTTTCCATTTATTGGTTTCGCGCTCTGATAAGGTACGGGCATTGAAGGAAGCATTTTATCGCCCACAACTGCCTAACTTAACGAATATTTTTGCTACCCTTGTGGTGTTCGCTGTTGTGGTATTCTTTCAGGGATTTCGTGTACCACTCATGACAAAGTCACGTCACGCTGGAGCAGATCGTCAACCCTACATGATCAAACTCTTCTATACCAGCAATATGCCAATTATTCTCCAGGCCAGTGTTGTTTCAAACATCAACTTCTTTTCCCAAATTCTCTCTCGTCGGTTTGGACAACACAACTTCTTGATCAATCTCCTTGGTCGTTGGGAGGAACGGGCGTACAGCCAGAGTGGACAGATGTACCCTGTTGGGGGCCTTGCATACTACCTCACACCCCCTGCTACCTTCTACGAGATGTTGGGCGACCCCATTCACGCCATCTTCTACGTTGTGTTTATTCTCTTTTCATGTGCGATCTTCTCTAAGCTGTGGGTGGCGATCAGCCACACCGGACCGCGTGATGTGGCGAAGCGGCTGGTGGCGGAGGGCCGATGGTTGGCGCAGGCACGCGAGAGCGAGGAGGACATGGCGCGGCTGCTGGAGAAGTACATCCCTGTCGCTGCGAGTTTCGGTGGACTCTGTGTGGGTGCTCTCACGATCTTTGCAGACTTCCTTGGCGCCATTGGCAGCGGCACAGGTATTCTTCTCGCGGTGACAATGATTAATCAGTACTTTGAGATTCTGCAGCAGGAGGGACAGGAACTCGGTTACGGTTTTCTCAAGCAGAAGCTCGCGTAGGGAGGCAGTCTGTGGTGTATGTATTTCTGTGGAAAAAAAAAAATGGTGGTACACTCATTCTCCGCCTTTCTGGTGGGTCTGTGCAAAGAATAATGCGCATTGTAGACAGTTGTTGCATTAAGACCTAAGCGACGTAGGAAAGAAGAAAAAGAAAAAAAAAAGGAAGAGAAGAAAAAAAGAGTTTAGAAGAAAAAAAAGCAAAACGGAAAGAAATGAAGGATATATGAGGTGGGAGAAATTAGAAAGGTGGATGAGTAAACGCGGTATTAGGGTCTGACACTGCTGTTTTTGTCTTCAATGTTGGAAGATACATGGCTGCAGAGTGATAAACTATAAAAAGTGTTTTTTTTTTTTTTTACTTTTTTTTTCTCTTCTTTCTTTTTTTTTTTTCTATGCGTGTGTGTGTGTGTGTGTGTGAAAAATGTTGTTTCTTCGTCACCTTTCTTTTTTTTTTTTTCCTTCCCCTGGCTTGCGTTAGTTGTGTACATGTGTGTGGGAGAGAGAGAGAGACACAGGTGTGCCAATAGCGAGTACTCTCGGGGAAGGAGTAATTTTGTGCGGGGGGTTTCGTAGAGATGGCATAATCAATATTTCGCTTCAGTTAGCAAACACGCATTACCAAAGAAACGGGAAAAAAGAAGAGAGAGAGAGAGAGAGAGAGAAAAACCAAACAAAAAAAATAAAAAGAAAGAAGGAGCTGCAGAATTGATTGACAAAAGATGAAAGGAAAGAAAAAAAAGAGAGAGTTCTGATAATAAGAGAAAAAAAAAAGTAAGGTGCCTCCAGGGTAAATCTCATGCATTAAAGGAGTGCTGAAGAGAAGGAATCATTATCATTATCAGTGGTAGCAGAAACAACTGTAAGAAGGAAAAAAAAATATGTAGATTAAGATGCTGATGGTTAGAGGGCGAATAATAGGGGAGTAAAAAGGAGACCAGTCCCTCTTTAACAAGTGATCTTTTTTTTTTTAATTTCTGCTAAACGTTTTCACCACGCCGTGAATGATAATACTGTAGGTGTAGTTGGGATGTGTAGATGCAAATGCACCAATGGGTAATAATGGTTCTCTATGGACACAAGTGAGGCTTTTTTTTTTTTTTTGTTTATCTGTTTCCATATGAACTACGTGCAATCCTGCGAGGGGCTTTGGTTGATGTAAAGAGATCAGATGTAGAGCTGGCAAGAGGAAAAAGAAAAGAAATATGTACTTATGTAAAGTTAAAGTGAGGGAGTGTGAGAGAAGAAAAGGAAGAAAAAAAGAACGACAACGCAAAAGAAATATCTGTGCTTTTTCTTTATTTTGACGTGTTGTATCTTTATCCTCTCCCCCTTCCCTCCTTTTCTTTTTATTTTGCTTCCTTTTATTTTCTCTCTTGTGTACGTCATATTGCATCCTTGAAGAATATATATATATATATATATATATATATGCACTTCCTTTGTTTTATTGTTTCCTTCTCTCACATGCGCGGGGTTTTTTTTTTTCCCATCTTTTGCCTTCTCTCTTCTTTACATCCTGATATGTGTAGTGGGCATGCAAAATTGCAGCAGTAGCAACAGCGTAAAGAGGTCCGAAATGCGTCGTCATTATTGATTTCTTTTTTTCTCTATTTATTTAATTTTTTTGTATGTTTTTTTTTATTATTATTATTGTCTAACTTTTTACATCTTATTGTGTTCAATGTATTGATTCTTACTTTTTGTTTGCTGTTTTTTTTTTTTTTTTTTTTTGTTCTCCCTCTTTTTTTTTTTTTTTTTACTGCACATACACCCACTTATAGTGAAGAAGGTAGAAGAATGAACCACACTTCTCAAATGCGATAGTTGAAGGACGTGTGTATTTGGACACATGTCATTTTTCTTTTTCTTCTTCTACTATTACTGGTTCCATAGCGGTATGAATAGTAATATAATGGGTAGGAAGCTGATCCATTTTCATGGCGGAAAATGTTGAGAAGAGTAAAAATAATGGAAGCGTTGATTGAGGTTTTGACACAGTTACTGAATAAGAGAAACCCCGAAGTGACATTCAAAAATACACAAAAGAAGAAGCCACTTCAGTGGAGACTGCAGTTTTTGTTTTCATGATAAGAGGCTTGAGATTTTCTACAAGAACTGAAATCATGGAATTATTTTTTCTATTGGATTTCTCTTTATATGTTGTATTACCTTGAGATCATGTTTAGTTGGATCATTAAATTACAATAATGGAATTCCACCTCGATTTCAGTCCTACCAATGATGACACTCTTTGGAAAATCCCCTATTCTAGATGGCTAATAGGGCAATCAACAGAAAAGAGGGAACGTTTAGTTAATAACTCTTCCCCATTTTTGATCCTCCTCCAGAAAAAGTGAGGGTCTCTTGCTTACCGTTGTTATCAAGTATGTCGTTGAATTATTGCCAAGTGCAGATATGTTATCTTTATTTATTTCCCTACTTTATTACACATTTTTTTCTCCCACTCTCTAATTTGGAGTTCATTAGGGATGAAGAGAAGATAATGTGATGACTGTACATTATGTAAATATACATTTTTTTCTTTATCCATGATGTGTTTATTATTTTAATTTATTTCCTCGACCCTTTTTTTTCTTTTCGGTTTAATCACATACACCTTCTTGAATAGCTGCAGGTGGAGAGGGTGGGGGTAAAGGAAAATAAGGTCTTTTTTAGAAGAAGAACAAAAAAAAAAAATAAAAATAAAATAAAAAGATTAAAAATAAGAAAACTCCAACTCCTCTCATTACAGCACAATACAGGTGCGTTTGTGTTTGTTTTGTTGGTTTCTTTGTGTATTATTATGAAAGAGGACTTGAGTACTCCACGACGAGCAGCCACTGCTTCTGGTAGCACCCCACAGGACCACCACCACCACCACCAGCAACAACAACAACAACAACAGCAACAGAGCCACAGTGAAGTCAATTCTCCCTCAGCACACCGCTCTAGTTCTTGCGTTCTGCAGTCTTCCTCTTCTTTGCAGCATGTAGACAGAGAGAAGGCGGAGTCGGGTAATGGCGCCTCCAGCGCAAAGGAACACCGCCACCGCAGAGTTCGCCACAGTGCCACGAGTGCAGATGTAGAAGCGCCACCATCCAGTGTGGATGGTGATAGAGAGAACGGTAGACGGCCTAAACATCGAAGGAGGAGTAGACACAAAAGAAATAGTCAAACCAAATCCTTCACAATGGGCGATGAACCACAATCCTCTTCTTCCCCACAGCAGGGTGCTCTAGAGTCTACACAAAACAGTAAACTATCAATTTCTGTAGACGATGAGAGTCCTGCAAAAGATCCCACAGTGCATCGTTCTCGTAGACGTCATCATAATAATCCTTATCATAGTGATCGGGATGAGAGACGTACTACTGTACGGGATAGTGAGAAAAGAGAAAGGAAGAAGAAGAAAAGAAATAGTAATCCTTTACCATCACCTTCAGCGATGGGTACGGAAAACGGGGTTTCTGATGTAGCTAGTTTTGTTTCCACCAAAAAACGAATCTCTGTTCCTGAATCACAGGTAGTCAAGACGCCTAATGGTGTACACAAGAATGATAATGGGGCTCAATTGTCTACCACCGTATATTTAAGCGATGTGTGCACGGATGAGACAGCGGTAGTGGTACCAGGCAAACACGCGTCCCCTCTTGAAGTGGGAAATCGTGTGGAAGAAGATATTCATCATAGCTGCTCCTCTCGACCTACGAGAAACTCTGTAGAGCCCACCGCATCAAATAGTAATGTCACTTGTGATCGTAGTGCACCACTGGGAAGTGATGTTTACGGTGATGCAAGCAACATTAGCATTAACAGTAGTGGTTTTCAGCGTTTGACACCGTTCCCTATGCGATTACATTTTTCACGTGAATTGGGAATGAATGGATGTGAGGAAACGGTGTTTCGTGGTCCTGTAGATGATGTGATGGACCTTACAGTTCCATGTGCTCCTTCTCCAAGTGAAGAGGCGGCGAAGATGACACACGATTCAACCGATAGTTATTCAGCACAAGAGATGTCCTACTCCATTCTGCATGCCTCGCAAATGGAAAGCAGTATTCACAGTTGCATGGCATCTACGCGGCCGAAGTATGCCACACCTCCGTGTGCCTCATGTTGTGTAGACCGCTCTGACCCAGATAGTTGGCGTCACAACAGACCACGTCGTCACGCATTTCAGCGGCCATTTCATATGTTTCAAATTATAGCGCTGTCTTTGGTAACGATAGCTTTTATTCTTTTTTGGTCTACTATTGTGCCTGCCTATGCTTTACTGTACACCCAGGGTGGTTATTCCTCCTGTTTGCTGGAAATGGTTCTCTTTTCAACACTTACGGGAGTGGGACTTATCTTAACCTTTTTGTTGTGGGCTATTGTATCATTTAAAGAAAATGGAGATGTTTCGAATGAAGGCGAACCGTGCACATATTGCCGTCGTCTCACTAATGTAGACTCGAGACATTGTAAAGCATGCAATAAGTGTATCAAAGGATTTGATCATCATTGCAAATGGCTTAATGTGTGTATTGGTGCGAAAAACTACCGTCTTTTTATCTGTTATGTTGTTTCTGCACTTATTAGCTCGACACTTGCATCTCTTTCTGGTGTTGTGCTGTTGGCGCGTTGGTGGAAACCTTTAGCCCTTTATTCATGGTACTTCCGTGTAGGGCCAATTTTGCTCTCTGCACTTTCGTTCGTACCAGTGCCACCGCTGCTGCATCTTTTTTGTTTTCACGTGATGTTGTGGCGGCTGCACATGACTACTTTTGAGTTCATCGTCATGCGGCGGCAGGGGGTACAGGAGAACCAACAAGCAAGCAATTCCTCAAGTGAAGAGGAGGAACTCCAACCACGGTAAGGAGCGAGAATGCGGTCTCGGGAAGATGTGGTTTGAAAAAAATCAAGAGAAAGAAAGAGAAGGAGAAAAAAAAAAGGGGGATGGGAGAGAGAGAGAAAGAGAAAGAGGAAGATAGGGATGGGGAGAGAGAATTAGTTATTTTTTTTTTTTTCCTTCTTTTGCTTCGTCACAATGAACACACAAAAAAGGAAAGAAAATAACTAAAACAAACGTGCAACACAACAAATTACTATGGGGTTCAACAGTATATGCTGTGGTTATATTGGTGTTTCAATGAAACGTGCCGTTTATATATATATATATATATATATATTTCTATACTTCTTTCCATTCATCTATTCTTCTATCCCACCTTCTTAGAATTCTTTGTTTTTTTTTTCGTGTTTCAGGTTTTATAAGAATATGGTAAATAGGCTGTTGTATGTGTATGACTGTTTTTTTTTTTTATTGTTATTATTATTGTCATTATTGATATTTTGCTCTCGCTGTGCTTCTTTGTTTTTTTTTTTTTTTGCTGAGACCCTTCTGGTTGCTCTATTTTTCTCTGTTTCTTATAAATAATAGATGTGATTTTCTATTACTTCTGACATATACTTAATTATGATTCTACGCAACGGTACATAACGGATAAGATAATTCAACCCCTTTTTTCTCCTATTTTAATACTGACTGCATTTGTTTTACTCATCTCCCACATTTTTTATTTTTATTTTACTCATGCTTCAAAACATAAAGAAAAATATATATATATATATATATATATATATATATACAATATCACAGGAAATTACGGTACATCACAAAGGCAAATAAAAAAAAAAAAAAAAGAATAAAAAGCAAAGCTACAATAGCAAAAGAAAAGGGAAATAAACGGGTGAACCCTCAAAGAGGCATAGGTATTTCACTAAATTTATTTTTCCTCTGAAACCTCCCGCTTCTGTTGAACACTTCAGTCACCAGAGGGCAAATACGGAGAAAAAGGAAAGGAACCAAATCGGAGAGGTGAGGTAGATACATAAACTGTAAGGGCAATTGCAGTGAAAACAAAAAAAAAAGTAATAAAAGAACAGGAGGACAAACAAAGGCAAAAAAGGGGGAAAGAAAGAATTCCAAAAAAAAAAAAAGAAAAAAATACCACCATAGTGATAGAAAAAGCAAGAACAAAAAAAGAAAGGACTAAATACACCTTATTTCAAGAAGAATGTTTCTTGAGATTATTATCTTCTGTTTGACAGCTGTCGCGTTGTACGCTGTGTACTTTGTGAAGTCCTTCAACACCACACGTCCAACAGATCCACCGGTGTACCCTGTGACGGTGCCTTTTCTTGGCCACATTGTCTCATTTGGAAAAGACCCGCTTGGTTTCATGCAGCGCTGCAAACGAGAGGTGAAGTCTGGTATTTTCACAATGAACATTGTTGGAAAGCGTGTGACCATTGTTGGTGACCCGCGTGAACACAGTCGTTTTTTCCTTCCTCGTAATGAAGTACTTTCACCGCGGGAGGTATACAGTTTCATGGTGCCTGTATTCGGTGAGGGCGTTGCCTACGCCGCGCCGTATCCGCGGATGCGTGAACAACTGAACTTCCTCGCAGAGGAGTTGACGATTGCGAAGTTTCAGAATTTTGTGCCTGCGATTCAGCACGAGGTGCGTAAGTTCATGGCGGAAAACTGGAATAAGGACGAGGGTGAGATTAACATTCTCGAGGACTGCAGTGCGATGATTATCAACACTGCATGTCAGTGTCTCTTTGGTGAGGATCTTCGCAAGCGACTCGATGCCCGGCAGTTCGCGCAGCTGCTGGCGAAGATGGAAAGCAGTCTCATCCCGGCAGCGGTGTTTGTGCCGTGGCTGCTGCGCCTTCCACTACCGCAATCCGCACGTTGTCGCGAGGCACGTGCACAGCTGCAAGAAATCTTAAGTGAAATCATCGTTGCCCGCGAGAAGGAGGAGGCACAGAAGGACAGCAATACTTCAGATCTTCTCGCAGGATTGCTTAACGCAGTCTACCGCGATGGAACCCCCATGTCGCTACATGAAGTCTGTGGTATGATTGTTGCCGCCATGTTTGCCGGTCAACATACCTCAACGATCACCACTACGTGGTCCATGTTGCATCTTATGCACCCTAAAAACAAAAAGTACTTGGATAAATTGCACAAGGAGATTGATGAGTTTCCTCCACAGTTAAACTATAATAATGTTATGGATGAAATGCCATTTGCAGAGCGTTGCGCTCGTGAATCCATTCGCCGTGATCCCCCACTTGTAATGCTTATGCGAAAGGTGATGGTGGATGTGAAAGTTGGTCCATATGTTGTTCCCAAGGGTGACATTATCGCATGCTCACCACTGCTCTCACACCACGACGAGGATGCTTTTCCCAATCCTCGCACATGGGATCCAGAACGTGTTGAGAAAATTGAGGGAGCTTTCATTGGATTCGGTGCGGGAGTACACAAATGTATTGGTCAGAAATTTGGCCTTTTACAAGTTAAGACAATCCTTGCTACTGCATTCCGTGAATACGACTTTGAGTTACTTCAGAGCGAAGTACCGGATCCAGACTACCATACAATGGTTGTCGGTCCCACACTCAGTCAATGTCGGGTGAAGTACTTTCGCAAAAAGAAGTTAACGGAGTGAGTACAGGAAAAAAGAAAAAAAAAAAACCAAACAAACAAACAAACAAACAGAAAAGAAGGTACAAGGAATTAAAATAGAACGCAAAGAATAACAACAAAAGGAGATCGGACGAATGATTGATAAAAAGAAAATCGATACAGGTGCTGTAATCTTTGTGTGTGTGTCTGGAGATTTCGATGAGGGACTAACCCTCATGTTTGAAATCCCTGTGGTGATGATGGGGTTGCTGGGGAGGTTTTGGTTTAAAAAAAAAAAAAAGAAAAAAAAGGAACATGCAAAGGGCAAAGGGAAAATGACCAAGTAAAAATAGGGAAAACTGAGTGTAACTTGCTGCGCCTCTCTCTCTTTTTCTCTTTTTTCTTCATTTTGTTTTTGTTTCTCTTTTTTCCACTGAGTGTGTGTTTTGTATCTATATGTGTTTGCTGAGAATGTAAACAAATGAGAGGGAATATGCGAGGAATAAATTTATGCAAGCAAAAAAGCAACGATCTGTAAAGAAGCTTAGAGGACGCGGTGTGATGGGTGTGTGTGGGGTCTGCGAAGCGAAGCATCCAAAGCAGTGCAGAGTATCAAGAACCACGAAAGAAAATAAAAGATGTATGAATACATTGCAGATAAAAAAAAAAGAGAAAAAGATCGATGAAGAGATTGATTAGTGCCATAAACAAACACGCAGAGAATGCTTGTTCTTCCTTTGACTGTTTAAAAAGGAAATTCCTTATAATAATATACCATACTATGAGGGTTTTTAAAGACAATTGACACATTTTCACAAAAAAAAAAAAAATTGTTTGAACATTCACTGCTCTTCTTCCCTTTCCTTTCTTTTATTTCTCTTGCGCACGCCATTTTTTTATGCTGTTATGAGAGAGTAGTGTACAAATAAACTCAGTATGTCTGGGTTCCTCACCACTTAAAGAGGTGAACACATAATAAAGAATTGGAAAAAAAAAAAGTCTAAACATTTCTTTTTTTTTTCCTTTATCGATAAGATAGCGTTTTGCTTTGAGTGGTTTACGTGCACATGTGATTATCAAGCTTATATATTTTTCAGACCCGGATGCCTTGTACATGTACGTTTTGTTACACCGGTAAACGCTTCTGGTTCCCGGTAGCAGGACCACTTCTTTTTTGTGAAGTAGATTAAGAGAAAATAAAAGGTGGGGGTACATACTTCTTGGTGACCTTAATTACCTCTTTGGCTCATCTGCTGCTATCTACATGAATATATGCACGGACGCATGTAAATAAATGTTAATGTGGTGTATTGGTTGTATATATATATTTTTTTTTTTGCGGTTCGTCAAGAGCATGGTATCGAAGAAAAAGGGATGGGGTACCGAATAATAACCATTCCTATTGATTTCTTTGACTGTTGACCTTTATTTTCTAAATAAATAAATAACATATACATATTTTGCGTACGATCCTTTAGAAAAATGTGCAACCTTCTTTTTTTTTTCACTGCTTAACAGTGAATCCCAGTACTATTCAGAGGGATTCCTGGCAGGCAGTAATTATATTTCTCCTTATACACGTCTAAATGATGGATCCTGTGGCTATGCGGAGTTCAGTGGTTTACTGTTCGAATTGTGTGTGTGTGTGTGTGTGTGTCTTCAAGAAAGCACTCTATCGTATATATATGTCTTTTTTTTAGGGTGTATTTTTCATGGAATATTGGATAATCTCCAGGACACATATTATTTTTCAACTCAAAAGCGATTACCGCTACTTTTATTCTTATTATTAATATCATTTGTATTCTTGTACTGAACCACCCTTTGATGTGAATTTTAACTTTTCTTTTACTATTATGCGTTGTTCTTATGTTTATTATCAGGACTATATTTCTTTTGTCATTCTTTTCCACCATTCTTTTACTCTTGTAAGACTAGAGGACCCGTTTCCTTGTGGTATCATGACACACTCCGCGGATCTTCAGTGGCTGTTGGTGCGCCAGAACAGCAAGTTCCTGCAGAAGCGCAATGGCATCCGTCTGAGCAGCGACCCCTTTAACAACAACGCGAACTGGACGAAGCGCCAGTCCGGCTTTCTGAACGCGAAGGCTGCCGTGGTGAAGACAAAGGGCGACCGCATCATCGTGACATCAAAGAATGGTGAGGCGGGCAACAAGCCTAAGCAGATGTACAAGAAGACCGTGATGGATGCCGGTGTGAAGGCCTCCGTCGTGAGTAAGGCTGTCGCTGCTGTGCGCCCCGACCTCGCCGATGTGGCATTCCGCCGCGCCCGCAAGATGGCATACACAATCAACCGCACAAAGAAGGTGATGGCCGCACGCAAGGAACGCTCATCAAAGATCACGTTCCAACGCAAGGCATCACGCCCGAAGCGCAACTGAAGAGGAGAGTTTCGTTTACTAAACGAGCTGGTGGTGTAACCGAAGAACGGTGTGTTAACCTCTCTCTATTTACTTTTATTTTATTTTTTTTTTATATATATGATATATTTTTTTGTGCTTTTTTTTTCCCGTTGTCGCATTCTTTATTTCGTTACTTTTTGCTATATTTTACTAATTAAAAAGAGTTTTTATTGTTAATTTCTTTTTTTTTTTCTCTCTCTCTCTCTCTCTTTTTCCTTTCGTTTTTCTTCTTTCAGCGTTTTTAAAGGGCTTTTAAAGAATATGTCGGTCTCCCTTCAAGAGTCCTTTTTTAACGTGCTGGGAATACCAGAGGGATCTAAGATCCGGCATGATATTATGAACTCCGCCAGTGCCCTCATTCGTGGTGAAAGCACCGTGTGTTCTTTAGATCCCACTAGTGATATCGCTGTGGTTGGTCTAATTGATCTCTTCTCTCCTCTTTCTGACCGATATGATGTTGCAATACGGCACCTGGCGGCTATGTGGACAGCAACAAAGTTTTGGGGAGCGTCCATGCATCACATTTCTCTCACATCCTTAGTTGCCGATCTGATTCTCCAGATGGAAACTTCACCTAACGTAGATGAAGGTGAATCGATATCTCAAGACTCGATGGAGCTTGTGAATCGACTGTACAAGACAGAAATGATTCTCTTGCGGCATTGTGGATTCATTGTTCCTGGTGTTTCCCTCTAAGAGGTTGTATTCCTGACATATGTTGGGGCTGCATTTTTGGCCTTAACGGTCTTTTCTTTCTTGACTTCATCTTAATTTTTTTTTTTTTTTTCTAACGCTTTTTTTTTTCGAATTCCGGTTCATTGAATTTGCATTTTTGATTATGAATGCTGTTGAGCTTCTGAAATTACTGCAGAATGAATGTATCTTATGGTAATGTAAATAAAAATAAAAAATAAACATCACGCGATAGGGTTGCCTTTATTGAGTACTGCTTTATTACGGCTATTTTTTCCTTTTTTTTATTTTGCTTACCTATCTCGTTTTGTAATAGCGAGTGAAGAGTTATGACGCACTCCGCGGATCTTCAGTGGCTGTTGGTGCGCCAGAACAGCAAGTTCCTGCAGAAGCGCAATGGCATCCGTCTGAGCAGCGACCCCTTTAACAACAACGCGAACTGGACGAAGCGCCAGTCCGGCTTTCTGAACGCGAAGGCTGCCGTGGTGAAGACAAAGGGCGACCGCATCATCGTGACATCAAAGAATGGTGAGGCGGGCAACAAGCCTAAGCAGATGTACAAGAAGACCGTGATGGATGCCGGTGTGAAGGCCTCCGTCGTGAGTAAGGCTGTCGCTGCTGTGCGCCCCGACCTCGCCGATGTGGCATTCCGCCGCGCCCGCAAGATGGCATACACAATCAACCGCACAAAGAAGGTGATGGCCGCACGCAAGGAACGCTCATCAAAGATCACGTTCCAACGCAAGGCATCACGCCCGAAGCGCAACTGAGAGACTCTCTATGCTGTGTGCGCATGAGCACGCTCGCTAGTATGTTTTTGTTTTGTTTTCCTTTTTGGTGGGGTGAATTGGTGGATATGAGGCTATTATTGGCGTTTATTTTCTTATATTTTGTTATGGAGGTTGTGATTATTATTATTATTTTTTTTTTTTCTTACATGCTCTTTGCGCTTTTTTTTTTTTTTTTTCTTCGGTTTTTCTATACCGTTTGCGCTCCTCTGTTTGCTTTCTCTAGGACATTTTTATTCGTTTTATAGCAGACGAGAAAAAGGTTAAAAAAATAGAAAACAAACAAACAAACAAAGAAAAAAAAAAAAAACGAGGGGCAGGTGAGGAAGAGGAACAACCTGGTAAGACTGCATGTATCTTGCTAGGGCGGCAGCGCAAGGATATGGAACGGGATTACACGACTCTGCTATAAAATCTCAAGTTTCCATCAATGCTACAGGATCTACTAAGCTTGGCGTCAATATTACACCTCTCGTTCATTCTATTATTGAAGAACCTATTAGAATTTTTATTTCCACTGGCGAGTGCAAGAGTATTGGTGATCGCCAACTTCCAAACTCTCGTGCCGCTGTTTTGTGTGGCGGAGGTGTAAGACCCTACACAGAAGATGAAGTGCGAGCAACGGCGGGTTCTGAATTTGCATCTGGTAAAGCAATACATACATTTAAGGGACATTACCGTCAGTGTAAAGATGGTTCTTCTTCTTGCACTATGAATATCAAAGAAGGTGAGGGTGGAATGTACTTTGCTGACGGTGGGTTTTTCCTTGGTTCTTGGGTAAATAATCAACGTTCTGGTATGGGTGCTCTTTACTCTTCTGTTGGCTACGCATATGAGGGAAATTTTAAGGATGATGTTCCCCATGGATTTGGTTTGGAGTATTTCCCTGCTGGCCAGGCGTATGTTGGTGAGTTTGCAGAAGGTCGACCTCATGGATCTGGTGTAATATACTACCCTCGCAATGGTACTATTTACGTTGGAGAATTTTCTCGAGGTGAAAAACATGGAAGTGGGGTGGTGTTTTACGCAAATGGAGAAGTGTTTGAAGGGCGTTGGGTTGGTGGTCGTCGCTGTGGTGAGGGGATCTCCACAACTGTGAAAAAGGGGACTACATCCCATTCTGATAGTGTCACTATTTTTCAAGAAAGCTTTCGAGCTCAATGGAATCGTGACAAATGCAAGTGGGAAACCATTCGTATTGATTACACACACAAACCTCCTTCACTGGAGCAGTATATTAAAGATGGTATGATTTCATTATTTGAGGATATTGAAAGTCCGTTGGGGTATAGCGTTGGAACTCTTTCTGTAGCACACGAACTTGTGCATGAAATACCTTTAGCTTTACTACATCGTTTGGAGCGTTGCTTTGATAAATTAGATGAGATGTGTACAGGAGAAGTGCCATTGACGACGTTGCAGGCGGCCTTTGAACCTTTTCCTAGTAAAAATAATGTACTGAACTCTATTTTAAAGGCTACACAGTCTTCTTCCTCTGATAGTTTTATACCAGGTCACCTGAATTTTATGATGTTTCTGCAAGGATTGTTTCCTCACTTGAGCGAATCTGATATTTATCGTCATTTAATGAAAGAAATACCGTTAGAAACACTGTTTCGACTACGAGGAGAACTTGCAGGAGTGGTTTCTACCAGAAATGATGGTTTCTTGCAACTTGTGGAAACTAACTGCCAAAACCTTGCATTTTACAAAGGACAAAAAGGTCTTCATAATACCAAACAGTGTACGGGTGGAATCACAAAAAAAGGGACAGATGAAAATAAAATGACTCTAGAGAGTATTCAATTGAATGCAGAGGAGCTATTTAAACTAGGAGGAGTTATTGGAGGGGTGCGTGTGCCGTATGGTTTGCTACTTCGACAAAAAGTTTTACACGGTAGTGAAAGACTAAATTTCCTTGAACTATTGGAAGGACTTTATCCGTCCATCTCTCCATCATTTTTGTATCGATGTGAAGTAACATCTTTTTTACCGCATGTTTTTAATGACTATCTTAACTCTTTTTCACAATTGGATGAGGAGGGAACATGTTTTCTTTCCATACAAGGGATGATTTCTGCAAGATCTCGTTTCTTAGCCGTCCGTGCTATTGGGCATGAACGGATTCCTTCTCCCACAAACGCGCTAGAAAGACTTATTCGTCCAGGACGACAACGCTGCTATGCTTATTGGGTTATTGGCGATATTATGCTATCTATAGACTTTGCGAGGTATATTGATCGCTTTAAAACTGGATTACTCTCTCTTGCTGATATTCTGAGACATGCGTACCCAAATATACCATGTCTCTTAACAAAAAACCGTTTATTACCCAGTACGACGGTGACCCATAGCCAATTTCACTCTACCGGATTAGGATTAGGAGGAGGAGTTGGAAATCCCTCTACTGATCGTCTAAATATTTCTTCTTGCCAATGTTGCATTTGTACATTCTGTGCTACTAACAGTCTCCCGCTAAGTGCTTCTAAGGCTTAGTCAGCGGAGAGGGAAAGTGGGGATGGTGGCCAGTAGCCAAATTTTGATATATATTTTTATTTTTTTTCTCTTATCGTATGTGAATTTATCTTTGGGTAAAATACTTTTTGCTCTTATATTTCGGAAAAAAAAAACTTTATTGGTGGTTTTGTTTTTTTTTTCTTTTCTTGAATGCTAATTCTTATTTCTCTATTATTATTAATTTTTTTTTTTTGATTATGCATTTGTTACGCATAAATAAAATAAATAAATAAATATATCTATATGTATACAAGGGAAACAAGTTTATCCAAAATTACTTTAATAGGCGCGCGGTTTTACCCTCTTTCTGGTCGTTTTACTTGGAATTAGAGATATCAAAGGAAGAACAGGACACAACACCGCGAATCAGATCGGCACGTACATATATATATATATATATATATATATATATACGTGCACAAATACGGGGAGAGACAAATACCGAGGATAGTATTAGTTAAGATACAAACGGAAGAAGAGTGAATAAAAAAAAAAAAAAGAGAGAGAGAGAAAGCAAAGAAAAGGTAGGGAAAAAAGATTACTATTATAGCTCATGCGTCTGAAGACCTCACCTCTTTCATGCGCTTTTGCATGGGCTCCGAGCAGCCTTGGTACTCCTACATACATTGCAGCTGCATCACTAGCAGGGGCGATGGACGATGACTTCAGCAATGAAGCTTTTTTGGAAATTCGCCTTGTCGACGTGACACAAACGGATGAAACCGATATGCCTGTTGTAGGCCGTACATTTATTCCTGAACGAGCGTTTCGTGTAGATTGGTGTTCATTTGGTGGTTCATGTGGATTGATAGCGGTGGGATGCAGCAATGGTGCAGTGTATATATATGATGCCGGCATCATTATGAGTAATTATCAAAAAAATCAGAACTACAACACAGAGGATCCTCTTCTTTGCTCCATAGTTGAGCACCGTGGTGCAATCCATGGCTGTCAGTTTAATCCCTCACAGCCAAGTTTTCTTGCAATTGGAGCCGATGATGGGGAGTGGGATGTCTGGACGCTTGAAGATCCAAGAGATCCACAGCGGGTTCCTGTTATGTCAAATGCTGCACATACTGCGGCTATTGTTCACTTACAATGGCATCCAAAATATCCGCATATTATTGCAACTGCTTCTGCTAATAGCATTGTTAATGTATGGAATCTGAAGTCACAGTCTTTGGCAGTTTCTCTAAATGTCTCAAAAGGAGGAAAGTCAGGAGTAAGTGCTAATGCAATCGCTTGGCACCCTGTGGTTGCGACACAAATTGCGGTTGCATTGGATGAAAAAGATCCCGTAATTCAAATATGGGATCTGAAAAAGTCTATGGTACCATTGCGGGAAATGCGAGGTCACGAAAGTGCTGTAACAGGTCTTTCGTGGAACCAAGAAGATGCATCAATGATTGCATCATGTGGGGCAGATGGTAAAACAATTTGGTGGGATCCAGCAACAGGAGAGCAAGGTGGTACATTACAACAAGAAAGTGGATACATTATTGACGCTCAATGGTCACCAGTTTTACCAGCAGTATTGGCGACTTCTTCTTTTGAGCCACTTTTGTGCGTATCGACAGCTGAAGATGCTTCTACTACTACTGCTGCTGGAGCACCAGTACCGAAGTGGTTGAGGAAACCATGTGGAGCTTCTATCAGTGTGGGTGGGTTTGTTGCTTCTCTCGTTCCCCATTCAACAACTATGGTTGGACTTACACATATTCTAGAGAGGAGCACTATGAGTCCAACAACTTCACAGGATCTTACATTTCGTACGGCGTTGCATCGATTTCCTCGTGGTTCAGATGAACGAGTTAGGTGGTTAGAGGAAGAGAACTATCACCTCTTTGCAGCAGCAGCATCTTGTAAAGATGATCGTACACCTATCCTTGCATACCTTAATGAGGAGGCAACACCTAACGAAGAGGGTGAAGATCCATTCGAAACTATGCAAGCTTCTAAAAAACGGATTGAAGATGTTGCAGCTGCTCATATTGCAGCAGGTCGTATCCGTGAAGCAGTTGAAGTTTGCCTGGATGATGGTCGTTTTGATGATGCCTTCGCTATTGCATACTTACAAGGAGGTGATTTGTTGCGGCGGGTACAGCAAGAATATGCCCATTATACCATAAAAAATAATCCAGAAAAAAGGCATGTTGTATACGCAGCTGCAATTGCCTCTGGAGATTTTGCTTCTCTAACTGCAGGTGGAGGCGTCCCATGGAAAGAAGCACTTTCAGTGATAATATCTTTTGTAGGTGAAGGTTTTTCAGAAGCCTGTGACAAGTTGGGAGAAGCACTTAAGAAAGAGGGAAATAGAGAAGGTGCCTTTACATGTTTTGTATGTAGTGGTAATTTGGATGCAGTTTTGGAAATCTGGCGTGAAGAGAATGTACCTGTACGAAAAATGATGCGTGAAGCACTTCTTCTTGAAGAGGTCACTGGTCGCCGGGTGACATCAACTTATTTTGCTGATTGCTTGCATGAGTATGGTATGAGATTAGTAGGTGATGGGTTAATTACTGAGGCCATGCCTATTCTTCAACGCTCTGCTAGTATTGGTAATCGTGGTGCTGCTATCATGGTGGATCGCTTGAAGTTTGAGACCCATGTTGGTCAAGTCGTTTTCCCGTTCTCTGTGGTTCCATTGTCAGACTCTCCGAGTCCATCGTGCATTGCCTTTTTGACGGAGAAACAACAACAACAACAACAACAGCAGCACCAGCAACAACATCAGCAACAACAACATCAACAACCAGGTCAAATGTCAATGGGTATGCAGCAACCTCAACGTCAACCGATGCATTTACAACAACCGCAACAACCACAACCACAACTGCAACAAAAACAACCATCGCTTCATAGACCGTTGCCCATGCAGCAACAACAACAACAACAACAACAACAACAACAGCAACAACCACTACCACCACCGCCACAACAACGACAACAACAACAACAACAACAACAACAACAACTCTTGCCGCCTCAGAACATGTATACACAACAACAACAACAACAGCAACAACCACCACCACAACCACCTATGATGCATGGTGTGGTACCAGGTTCTTCCGTACCTGCAATGCCTACAACTACGGCTTCTGCTACTGCAGCAGCTGCTGCTCCTCCTCCTAGACTTATGCCTCACCCTATTTCTTCCTATTCATCACTGAGACCAGGAACTTCTGTCTCTTCTGGACCCCCACCACCTCTGGCACCTGGTAATTACAACAATGGCGTACAGTCTGTGCCACCACATCAACCACCGCAGATGACACCTCCTGGCGTTTATTCTGCACCGCAACAAGGTTACGTAGATCCAAACAAACCACCACCACCGTTACCTGGGGCATCACGAAGTTCATCTATGCCAGCTTCGCAGACACAACCACCTGGTCCACCACAACCTCCAAGAATGCAACAACCTGGTGCTTATCAAGGGAATAGTGGTATGTCAATGCCACCGCCTCCACCACCTGGTACATCTGTGGCACCTCCTCAACAAGCAGGAGGCTACAATACAAATCCCCAACTTTCTTCAAGGGGGTCTTCAATGCCTGGGGTAAATTCCACAGCATATGATAACAATGCGGCATTCCCCAATGCTCAACCTCCAGTGGGTGCACCCTCACTTTACAATAATCTTTCAAGGTCGGGATCAACAGGAACAATGCCAACACCGGGAACAGCACCACCTCCGCCTCAAGCCGTACAAGGAGTACTACCACCGCCACCACCGACAATGACTACAGGAACGGCAGCTCCATCAGTACTTCCAGGAGTAGGAGTAACACCAGGAGCGCCACCCCGATCGACGATGCCGGTTTACAATAATCCCTCAGGTATTTCCACTCCCAAAGATGAAATGACAGGTGACTCAGCAAGTAACTATCGTGGTATGGGAAATGCGCCGTTTCAAGCGCAATCATTGTCATCGTCTCAAAACAGGTTTCCGCATCAAAATATGGTACAACAGCCTACAGCAACCACCCCTTCACTTCCTGTATATCGAGCACCTTCAAATGAACAACGAGCTGGTCCACCATCAACAGCATATGGTAGTAGCGCTTTTCCCTCTACGATGCCTCCTCAAGTTTCTTCTGCTGCTGCCCCTCCAGCACCAACTGGAGGATTAGATGATGGGGGGTTGTCACTTTTTGACATCAACTCTTTGATACCTGCACACCAGACACTAGCCCGGAAACTTTGTGCGGATATTCAAAAGATCAGCAATGCCCAACGACGATCTGCCGTTTCAAAGGCGGCATTAGAGCTTTTTAAACTGTTGCAGAGAGGGGCTTTCTCACCGGAGGTTGTTGGTTTGCTTACCAACTATGTAAACACAGCAGGAACTCCAGCCTCAAAAAGTGCGTGGCGACAGCTTTCTGATATGCATTTTGATGCAATTCAACCAATTTTAAATCTCAAGTTTCTGTGAAGATCCAATGTTAGGATGTTGAATTAGTTTTTACAATTATTACTACGTTTGGTAATGAAAGAAGAAAAAAAAAAAAGAGAGAGAGAAAAAAAAAGAAAAAAGAAAGAATCCAATAGGAGCGAAGAGATTGAAATTATTAGGATGGCGGAGGACAGGAATCTATTGGGGAGAGAGCGATTTTTTTCTATCTTTTTTTCGTTCATACATATATTTGTATCTCTTTGTTTGTGTGCGCTTCTCAAGGAAGAACGGATATTCAGAGAAATATTTTTTTCCCACTCTTTTTTCTACTCCCATATAATTCCTCTTTCCAGTGCAAGGGTTTTTTTCTTTGTTTCCCCTTGGAGTACGTGGGCAAGTCGCTGCTGATGACAGAGTAAAAGTGGATAATAGTATCGGTGATCTGGAAGGAGGTGAAGCGCTACTGTTCTCTGGGTCTGCGTTTTGCCCTATGTATCTTTTTCACCTTGTTCGTCCTTATTCTTCCTCTTCGAAGGAAAAAAAAAAAAAACGAATAACGGAGAAAAAGAGTGAGGAAAAGTCTTTGTGATTGTGCTCCTAAAGGAGAAAAATGTTTGGTGTCAATTTTCAGTGGTGGGCGCACTGCTTGAACCACATTTTTTTTTTTTTTTTTTGCAGCACATTTATGCATGAAGGTTACTGGCAACTTTTTGGTGAGTAACCTAACTGAGAGCAAAGAATTTTCCATTTAAGGGAATCATTATTTTTACTATTTGGTGTTTGTTCTGTTTCACACATTTCTGATAATTTTCTTTCTTTTTTTTTTCTTGCTTTCATTGTCATCATTGTAATTACTAGAAACGACTGTGGCGCTAGAGTGAAAATATGTCTTGGTCTCAACCGGGTGGGTTCAACCCCAATGCTAATGCCTACAATCCACAGGGTCAGCAGGGAGCTTACTACCCTCCCCAGCAACCGCGACAGCAGGATGGAGGTTTCGGTGGACAACAAGGCGGTTATTACCCTCCCTATCAACAACAAGGTGGCGGCTACGCTGGGCAACAGGGCGGTTATTACCCTCCTTATCAGCAACAAGGTGGTGGTTACGCTGGGCAACAGGGCGGTTATTACCCTTCTTATCAACAACAAGGAGGTGGTTACGGAGGTCAACAGGGTGGCTATTATCCTTCACAGCAACAACGGGGAGGTGGTGGTTATGCAGGACAACAAGGAGGTGGTTACGGAGGTCAACAAGGAAGAAACTATTCAACTCAACAACAACAACAAGGTGGTGGACGAGACGGTGTCTCTGTAACTCAACCTACTGGTAACTTTGGAGCTACCACTGCCCCTTCAGCACAACAAGAACAACCAAAAACTTCTGCAGTTGATTCGTCTAAGCTATCTCTTGGTGGTGGCAATGGAGAACCTGTTGCTGTACCAAAGAAGACGAAAGCTGGAACTCTTTCCATTGGGAAGAAAAAGGTTGAAGAAACCAAACAGAAGAATGAGGACGCTAAAGTTGAAGAAACTAAAAAAGAAACTGGAACTTCAGCAGAAACTACAGATAAAAAGGATGTTGCTTGTGCACGTTCTAAGATGACCCCAGAGGAACTTCGGGAAAGTGTACGTCGTGAAATAGCGAAGCAGCGAGAACAAAATAAAAAAGTATTCGTTCGGGATCCACGTCAACATTTTAATATTGTTTTTTGTGGTCACGTGGATGCTGGTAAATCTACTATTTCCGGACATTTATTAATGGAAAAAGGACTAGTGGACCAACGAGAAATGGATAAATTACGCCGTGAAGCTGAAGTTTACCACCGCGAAGGATGGGAGTATGCATATGTTATGGATGTTTCAGAGGATGAGCGAACAAAGGGTATTACTCGTGAAACTGGTGCAGCTTACGTTGAAACTGAAAATCGACGTTTGACAATTCTTGACGCTCCTGGACACAAGGCTTTTGTACCTTCAATGATTGGTGGAGCAACTCAAGCTGATGTCTGTGTGCTTGTCATTTCCAGTCGAACTGGTGAGTTTGAGACAGGGTTTGAAAGAGGTGGACAAACGCGAGAACATGCTATGTTGGTACGCACATGTGGTGTAAAACAGATGATTTGCGTTATTAATAAGATGGATGAAGTTGGATGGAGCAAGGATCGTTATGACGAGATTGTCGGTAAATTGAAACCATTCCTTCGACAAAATGGTTACGATGAAGAAAAGGCGAAAAATCTTATTTTTATTCCAATTGCTGGTCTCAGTGGTGAAAACCTTATTAAGAGGACTGAAGGTGTTTGTCCTTGGTACAATGGACCCACAATGATGGGATTTATCGATAATCTCGTGTTACCAGAATCAAAAAGTGAAGATGATATTCTTTGTATCCCTCTGGTTGGTGCATACAAAGACGAGGGTCGTGTATATATTTATGGTAAGGTTGAGTCTGGCTCTATTGCTGTGGGAGAAAAAATTCAGATTCTCCCTTCCAAAATTGAAGCTATTGTCGAAGGTATATCCATCGAATCTACAGAATTTGAGAAGTGCTATCCTGGTGATAATGTGCACCTTCGTGTGCGTGGCGTAGATGAGAATGATATACATGCTGGTTACGTTGCCACCTCAATTCCAACATCTCTCCGTGCAGTTGAGTATTTCCAAGCTCGTGTGGTGATACTTGATGTGAAGAACATTATTTGTGCTGGTTCACGTGTTATGCTGCACGCCCATGCTGCACAGGAGGAAGCCTCTTTTCATAAATTGCTTGCGAAGGTAGATAAGAAGACAGGCGAAGTGGTGCAGAAGGAGCCTACACATGTTAAGGCAGGAGATGTGGTGATTGCCCGCATGGAGTTGGACCGTTCTCTGGTGTTGGAAGCACACAAGGACTTCGATAAGATGGGACGCTTCATGTTGCGTGAAGATGGCAAGACAATTGCTATTGGTCTTGTTACAAAGCTCTACGAGTCGACCAAAGAATCACTTGCAAAGTCCGGCAAGGCATAAGAAAGAGAAAAAAAAATATTTATATATCCTTTCTGTTTTTACAGAATAAAAAAAAAAAACAAAAAAACTCACGTCGTCCATCACAAAAAAAAAAAAAAAAAAAAAAAACACCATTAGTTGATTTTGTACCTTTTTTTTTA